AACTTTCTTGAGTCTTGACCAATAGTTTGACTAGGTACTATTAGATACTATTAAATAGTTTTACTAGGTACTAATTACTATTAGAAATTATGTACTATCAGATTTTTTTTTTTTTTTTTTTTTGAGACGGAGTCTCCCTCTGTTGCCTAGGCTGGAGTGCAGTGGCACGATCTCAGCTCATTGCAACCTCCACAATGAGTTCAAGTTATTCCCCTGCCTCAGCCTCCTGAGTAGCTGGAATTACAGGCACCTACCACCATGCCTGGCTAATTTTTGTATTTTTAGTAGAGATGGGATTTCACCATGTTAGCCAGGCTGATCTCGAACTCCTGACCTCGTGATCTGCCCACCTTAGCCTCCCAAAGTGCTGGGATTACAGACATGAGCCGCTGCACCCGGCCTCAGATTTTTGAAGGCATTATTCTATTGTCTTTTAGCTTTGATTGTTACTGTTGAGTAGTCCTATACTATTCTGATTCCCAATCCTTTGTATTTTTATCATCTTTTTCTCTTTGGAATCTTGTGGGATCTTTGTCATCCATGCTATTCCAAAATTTCACAGTGATGTGAAATCTTGATGTGGATCTTTTTTCATTCATTATGGTAGGCTCCATTTGGGGCCTTTCAATCTTTAAACTCATGTCCTTCAGTTCTGGCTTAGTATGATACCCCCCACTCCCCTTCAGCTGTTCTCGAAACCTGAAAGCCTAGCCAAGCTATCAACTGATCAGTCTATTTATTTACTCTTACAAGAAGAGTAAACTTTTGGCATTCTCCCCAGTTCTCTGGGTCAAGTGAGAGTCTTATGAAGACTTTAGTCTATTTCCAACCCTAATTGTATCCTTCAATTGTAGAGGTTCTGATACCTCTAACCCCTCAGCCTTTTAGTTTCAGTAAGACAACTGCTTTTACAGCTAGATGCAAATATATAATAGCTCAAACAAAATAGTTTCTTTTTTCTTTTTTCTTATTTTTTTTTGAGACGGAGTCTTGCTCTGTTGCCCAGGCTGGAGTGCAATGGCACTATCTCGGCTCACTGCAAGCTCCGCCTCCCGGGTTCATGCCATTCTCCTGCCTCAGCCTCCTGAGCAGCTGGGACTACAGGCGCCTGCCACCACGCCTGGCTAATTTTTTGTATTTTTAGTATAGACGGGGTTTCACTGAGTTAGCCAGGATGGTCTCGATCTCCTGACCTTGTGATCCGCCCGCCTCGGCCTCCCAAAGTGCTGGGATTACAGGCGTGAGCCACCGCACCCGGCCTATTTTTTCTTAAGTAACAGTATTAGTGGAAAAGTCAGCAAGACAGCCTCTTCCATTTAGTCCTTTAGAGACAGTAGCTCTTCTGTCTTCAACATGTGGCCTCTGAGAAGGTTACCATAGTGGTCATCTCCACTCCAGCCAGTGGGAAGAGGAAAAGAATATGGAGAAGTATGCACAGGAGATTTTTATGGGCCAGTCATGGAAATGGTGCATGTCACTTCCACTCACATTCTATTCTGTAGAACTCTGTCATATGGCTATGCCTAACCGCAAGGAGGGCCAGGAAAGAATCTAGGTATCTTCCTATGAAGAAGAGGAGAACAAGGATTTTAAAGAGCAACTGGCAGCCTCTGCCCCTTCAGCTCTCTGTGAAGTGAAATGGTGTAAAGCACTTAGCTTTCTCTAGTCCAGGTCATTATTGCTGCTTTTCTGCCTGCTATTGAGATTCCAGAATTTTGTCAACATCTTTTTTTTCTTCTTTATTGTTCTTTTTATTTTGTGGGTTTAGGACTTACTCTTTTACTGTTATTTTAGTGAAATTTTGACTGGAAGCAGAGGTAAATATGCAGCTATATTGTTACTTAAGCTATGTAGGCATAGTAAAATGACCAGAGAAAAATATCTCTGAGGTTCATATGGGTTTGTTGGCTGTAAATTTTCCTCTGAACTATATTATTAATACTTTTTAGTTATCAAAGAGAATAAAAGAATTATGTATAGTGACATAGAAAATGCCTTTTTTTTTGAGACGGAGTCTTGCTCTGTCGCCCAGGCTGGAGTGCAGTGGCACGATCTCGGCTCAATGCAAGCTCCGCCGCCCAGGTTCATGCCATTCTCCTGCCTCAGCCTCGTGAGTAGCTGGGACTACAGGCGACTGCCACTACGCCTGGCTAATTTTTTGTATTTTTAGTAGAGACGGGTTTCACTGTGTTAGCCAGGATGGTCTCCATCTCCTGACCTCGTGATCCACCTGCCTCAGCCTCCCAAAGTGCTGGGATTACAGGTGTGAGCCACCATGACCGGCCAGAAATTGCCTCTTCTATATTAAATGAAAATAGAAAATTTCAGAACAGTTTTATAGTATGTTTATTCTTTTATATGTTTATAAATGTATTAATATTTTTTGAAAGATATACTTCTAAATTTAATGATCATTATTTGTCGGGAGTGGGACTGAGAAGGGTTTGAGAGATTGGGGAGGTTTTTGCTTTTAATTTTATTTATTTATGTATTTGTTCATTTATTTATTATTTTGAGATAGAGTCTTGCTCTGTTGCCCAGGCTGGAGTGCAGTGGTACGATCTAGGCTCACTGCAACCTCGGCCTCCTGGGTTCAAGTGATTCTCCTGCCTCCCCATCTCTAGTCGCTGGGATTAAAGGTGCATGCCACCACGCCTGGCCAATTTTTGTATTTTTTCTTTTAGTAGAGATGGGGTTTTGCAATGTTGGTCAGGCTGGTCTCGAACTCCTGACCTCAAGAGATCCACCTGCCTCAGCCTTCCAAAGTGTTGGGATTACAGGCGTGAGTCACCGTGCCTGGCCTTTGCTTTTTATTTTATATATTTCAGTGATACTTAAATATTTTACATTGAGCATGTGTTTGAACCTTTTTTTGGTTACTAAAGAACAAGTAAAGGAACAGTCAGCAGGGCCAAATTCACTAGAAAAATCTAGTAAAATTAAGGCTGAAAATGTCTACTGTATTTGGAAATCAGAGGTCGTTACTGGTATGGGATAAGAAGTGATCTCAGTGAAGGAAATATGGGATATCAGGAAATAGATGTCATGGTTTAGGCTTTTTAAAAAAAGACCATTCCAGATAAGGAGGGTGATTAAAGGAGGTTGTAGAGTCAAGGCAGCAGGATCTGATGTTTTGTGGAGGAGTTTTCTCCCCAATATCTAGGAACTTTTAGTATGTTTTATAACTTGTGGAAGAAGAATCCAGTAGAAAGAGAGGAAAATACAGAAAAGGGATGAATTCAAGCAGAATGATTTCAGAACCTCCCTCGTTTGTCTCATCTCTCCACTAATGATTAGGCTCCTTTGCAAGATTAAGAACCAGATAAAGTTTTTAGCAAGACCAATGTAGGAAGACATCCCCAAACTTTAGGTAAGAGGGCTTTGTTTAGATGGTCTTTGAAACTCCTTCCAGTCCTCACTTCTACAAGTCCAGTTTTATCTGAGTAGGTCCTAGATGTAAGCACGGATGTAACAGAAACAAACAGCCTGCTTTAGTATGGCTTGAGCTAGGAATCCAGTCTTACTGGTGAGAGAGATTCGAATGAAGCATTTTTGTTTCTTTTGAGAAGCAAAGCATTCTCCCAGTGTTGCATCAGAAAATCTGACAGAGTTAGCACTTCCTCCAGCTCCTTGTCAAGCTAAGAAGCTCTCATTTTCTTTACAAGTGCCTCTCCCTCCACTTTTCCCAAAGATACCAATTTAGAATGTGCTTTGCCAAGAATCAGTGTATTTCGGGAATCCATTTCTTCATCTCACTAGGGTTACAATGAGTCATGGCTGTGACTCCATTCTTCCTTAGGAATCTGAAAGGTGGCAGATACTGAAGACCTCCAGTGCCAGCCCCTCCCCTTGAAAGGTTCTAGGCTCTGGGCTTCTAAGAGTGACTTCCTTCCCCATAGAATCAGAGTGTCATCTGGTATATGTTAGATAGAAACTTGGGGTGAAACACTCTCCTTTGAGGGATTTTAAATGCTATTGTAGCTGGGCATAAGATATTTGTGTATACAGATTTCTCCAGTCAAAGGATTTTTTTTTCAAGAGATATCTTAAATTTTCTGGAGGCCACTTTGAATAGGAACGGTGGAGCATGATTATATCTGCCCTAGGAACTCTCCTAAGCTCTATCAAAGTACAGACTTAAACTCACACTTCTCATTCTGCTTCTTAACATTAGGCATCCTGGCATGCATATAAGGTCTAATTAAGTCTCCTGCTTCTTGGTCAGTGTCTTCCCCCTTCATACCCCCACTTTTGGGCCATTGAAGGGAAGGGAAATGGCCCAAAATAAGATAGGGCAGGAGAAACCAGTGTTTTGAGGTCCAGAGGATGCCAGCAACGATGATTCTTATGTGTTCTGTCAGGTTTCAAAGTGTGTCTGCTGAGAGGCTTGCTCAGCAAGTGTGAATTCCTGTCTTTTCACCCTATCCACCCATGGGTGACTCAGCCCACAGGAGAGCCAGCCACTAAGGTATCTACAGGCTGCATCTGAAAGATAAGAGAGTGAGACTTGACACAGAAGTAGGCAGAGCTTCTGAATACCGGTGTTAGCTAAGTTTCTTCAGCCTATGAAAATGAGCTGCCGTTTCTATAGGGCAGTGATTTGCTGTCACCTGGGAAGATACAGAGATCACTTATTCTAGACTAAGACCACTTTTCCCTTGAAATGCTCTTGTAAGGGGAAGAAAGGTAGCAGGCCTCGGTTAGTCCAAATAACAAGGGCCCTCAGTTCTCTTAAGCCCTAGAATATTTATCGGCCCTCTCCACATTTTCCAGTGTCATATCTTGCATTTTCATTCATTCAGGGTGGCCTACTGCAAATTGGTTTATAGTACCTGCTCTGACAATACCAGTGAAGTCCTCACTTGAAGGAAGTATAAATGAGAAACAAAGGTAGAGCTCAGTTATGGGAGGCTCCTTCATTATTTTTATGGTACCTGGGGGACAATGGGAAAGAGGGATGTGGCCTGTCACTAAGAAGTCTCTGCTTTCTATCCCTCAAGCAACCCCATAATATTCTGCAGAGGCGCCTCATGGAAACCAACCTGTCTAAGCTCCGAAGCGGCCGTGTCCCTTGGGCCTCTAAGACGAACAAACTCAATCAGGCTAAGTCTGAGGGGCTAAAGAAGTCTGAGGATGACATGATTTTGGTTTCTTGCCAGGTAATGTTCTGAGAACAGATTTTCCAGGGTTTTCTGGAAAGTAGGATGTGGGACCCTCTCCCCCTGGCTTTATAGAGTATGGGTCTCATGGAATTCATAAGTAAGTTTTAAAAGGGCCATTCCATGCAACACTGGAAGTGTATGTGACATTTTGTATGCACGTGTGTCTTCATGGGAAGAAGGAACAAAGCTTTCATCAGATTTACAAATGGGTATGTGATTTTAAAAAAAAGTTTAAGAGCTATTTGTTATGTAGCAGAAAACATCTAGAATTTTTTGGGGGATCTTCTGTCAGCCCTGGATTCAGCAGGAACAAGAGCCAGTCAAAGGCAGACTTAGCAGTGGGTAAAGATGGGACACTATAACCCATAATTGGGAGGATGCTCTCCACCCCTGCCTTTCATATGACATCTGCTGCTTGCTGTCTGCATCTCCTTTCCCTTCTGCTTCTCTGGCTCTTATTGAACAGTACATTTCCTCCCCACAGTGTGCTGGAAAGGATGTGAAAGCCTTGGTTGACACAGGCTGCCTATATAATCTCATCTCTTCGGCCTGTGTGGACAGATTGGGGTAAGTAGCCACTTGTACTGAGTGGAACTTAGATGTGAGTGTACTCTTCGCTTGACTCTATTTTATGGTTAGAGATGGTGAGCATCTCTACGGCAGCTCAAAGAGAAGTATGCAGAGTTCAGATCTCAGCTGGAACCAGAGTCCTTAGTAGAGGGGAGGAGTGGTGGGTTATCAGGCAAGTGGAGAAATCAGTGAGCATGGAAACTTTTGGCTTTCTGTTAACTCCCCCTATTAAGTTTTGAGCAAAGACCTCTGAACTTGAATGAGAGAGCCTGAGACCTCTGGCTCATTGTGTGCCCTGCCCTGATCCACTAGACAGCAAATTAAAAGGAGCTGTCCTGTTGGTATACTCCATCCAGATGAATAAAAGTAGGGATGTGGTGGGCCTTAGCTTACTCAGAGTCTTTCTGGAGGATGCACTGCCTGTCCCCAAGAAACATCCATCAGAACTGAGGACTGCAGTTGCTACTGTGCCTGGGCCTGGGCCTGGGCCTGGGCCATCATAAAGATGATTAGCCAGTAGTTTATTTTGTTTGTTTTGTGTGGGGGAGCCTCACTCTGTTGCCCAGGCTGGAGTGCAGTGGTGCAATCTCGGCTCACTGCAACCTCCGCCTCCTGGGCTCAAGTGATCCTCCTGCCTCAGCCTCCTGAGTAACTGGAACTACAGGTGTGCACCACCATGCCTGGCTAATTTTTTGTATTCTTTGTAGAGAAGGGGTTTTGCCATGTTGCCCAGGATGGTCTTCAACTCCTGGGCTCAAGCAATCTGCCTGCTTCAGCCTCCCAAAATGCTAGGATTACAGGTGTGAGCCACTGCACCCAGCCCTGAGCTTTTTATGTGGTGAAAAGATGAAGTATAGTGCAACATGATGGTTCCAGAAAGACTAATATGTCCTGGTGCATAATTAGGCAGCAGACTGCCATGATTCCAGAGGAATTAATAACCATCTGTAAAACTGCAATTATTTTTCTTTTGGATGGGCTATAACATCAAAAGAGAGGAAATAGAGGAAAGCAGAAGTATTGGCACAGAAAGTCCATAATTAAGTATTTATCCACCAACCCATAATAACTCTGGTGCTAGCTATTACAGTCAGCTTATGTAACATATGAAACCTTGGTACTGTTTCTTTCCTTCCTCCCCTGCACAGACAAGTTAAATTAACAAGGATTTTCTCCATGATATTCCTTGCTGATACGAATATCAGTGCACTTACCAAATAAGTACTTGCCTCCACTAACATTATAGTCTAAGACAGACTGATGAAGACAGAATGAAATAGAAAGGACAATGAGAAAATTAGACATTGAACAAAGCACCTTGTAAAATTAGGATTAACCTGACTTCTCTGGTATCTGTTACTCACAGATCGGTAAAAGGACATGTTAACTCAATTGCCTCACACAATGGTGGGGACAGTAGGATACAGAATAGGATTCTCTGAATATGTCAGTTGCCCTGTCTTCACCAATACACATAAGTGATGTAAGGTTTTTGAGAATGGGAGATGAGTCTTTAGTGTTTTTATATCCCCCTGGCATGTTTAGGACAAAGTGCTGAAACAACAAATGTAGGATGGCTAGCACTTTTTGGTAAATTAATCCCAGGAGATCCCTGGAGAATTCCAGTTGTAGGTCAGAAGGTAGGCATTGCAGGATTCTATCAGGAATCTCTGTCAAGGGGATTTTGGTATCTTCCTTTTTGGTGCAGACTCAAGGAGCTTGTCAAATCTCACAAGCATGAAGGAGAAAAGCTTTCTCTACCCCGGCATCTCAAAGTAGTGGGCCAGATTGAACACCTAGTGATCACACTGGGCTCTCTCCGCCTGGACTGCCCAGCAGCTGTGGTTGGTAAGCAGAATTGAGGGCTGGACCTATGGACCCTAACATAAACCCTCTCCCTACCCCCAACAAAACCTCATGAGATCTCATGCCTGTAAATATTGACTTTCTCGAAATGGTTCCCATTTTTCTGTACTATAGATCTTGTCCCAATTTTTGGTCTCCAAAGTACTAGATGGGCCCTGAGCTACATCCAAGACATGTTGAGAATCAATCAGTTAAACAAATGTGGAGGTCAGATAAAAAAAATTTCAAGGAGCAAGAGGCCGAGCGCAGTGGCTCATGCCTGTAATCCCAGCACTTTGGGAGGCCAAGGTGGACAGACCACCTGAGGTTAGGAGTTCAAGAACAGCCTGACCAACATGGAGAAACCCCATCTCTACTAAAAATACAAAATTAGCTGGGACTGGTGGCGCATGCCTTTAATCCCAGCTACTTGGGAGGCTGAGGTCGGAGAATTGCTTGGACCCGAGAGGTGGAGCAGAGATCGCGCCACTGCACTCCAGCCTGGGCAACGAGAGTGCAACTCCATGTCAAAAAAAAAAAAGGAGCAAGAAAACACTTTTTTATGTACAGGTGAAAATGTCCCCTGAGAGCTTTCCATGAACTAGAAATAGAGAGCAACTTACTCCTTTGCCATAAATCCTTTGATAATTTCCCACCACTTTCCACACTTCTCATACATTTTATTCTTGACTACTCCAAGTTATTGGTCTTTGTCTAAAGACCTTTGTCCTTTAGAGTAAAAAAGACCTGAGTTTGCATCTTGGCTTTATTGCCTTGTAACTTTAATGATCTAGGAAAATTACTTAATACAACACATGCTTGACCACGTGCGGTGGCTCATGCCTATAATTCCAGCACTTTGGGAGGCCAAGGTGGGTGGATCACCTGGGGTCAGGAGTTCAAGAGAAGCCTGGCCAACATGGTGAAACCCTGTCTCTACTAAAAATACAAAAATTAGCCGAGTGTGGTGGTGGGCACTGGTAATCCCAAATCTCCTGCTGAGGCAGGAGAATTGCTTGAACCTGGGAGGCAGAGGTTGCAGTGAACTGAGATTGCGCCACTGCACTCCAGCCTGGGCAACAAGAGCAAAACTCTATCTCAAAAAATAAAAAAGTAAAAATAACAAAAAAATAAAAACACATGCTCAATATATGCTTATTGGATGTTACTGGATGGATGGGTGCAACCTAATAGTGATTAGGCCGACTTCTAAGCAAGCGTGGAAATGGCTAAATCTTAATCATCTTTTTGTTTTATTAGATGACAATGAGAAAAACTTGTCCCTTGGTCTACAGACTCTCCGATCTCTGAAGGTAAGATTGACTCCTCTTACCCCTTGATACTTCCTCTCTGAGGCAGGTATCCTCGTACACAGGAACTCATAGTGGTATCACTGACAAGTTACCAGTGATTCTCCTGTTTTCAGTGCATCATAAACTTGGATAAGCACCGGCTGATCATGGGGAAGACAGACAAGGAAGAAATCCCTTTTGTGGAGACAGTCTCTTTGAATGAAGACAAGTGAGTACCCAAGTGGGTCAGATCAAGTCACATCCATTTGTCATGAGCTGCGAGCAAGGCGGTGGTGGTTCTTAGACAGGACGTGGGGTTGTATCCTGTCTTTGGCTTTCAGTTATACTACAAATCTACCCTTCCCCACACCCAGAGTTCACCATCCCATAAAACTCTGTAGTGCACACATCAGAATGAGCAATGGTCATGTCACACAGAGTGGTAGGGAAATGAGTGGCTTTGAAAGCAAAATTTTACTTGCCTTCAGCTTAACTTTTTCTGAATATGGCATTATTTCTTCTGATATTTATTTCTCATTTCAGCACTTCAGAAGCATAACTACAGCCTGCAGCATGTCTGCACATGTGCATACACACCGGGTTGACAGATTGAGAAAACTGGGTTTGAACCAAATGCCGTAGCAACTTGCTGTGGACCAAGTCCTTCCATTTAATAGAAGCTCTAGGGGCTCCTTCCCATTCAGACCTCTCTAGACTATAGTCTATGCTTAGAGATCTTGTCTGGTTATAGCCATTGTTTTTTACTCCTTTGATCACTTAATTTATAGACCTTTTTTGACACTGCCAGTCTCACTTGTGGCCTATTTCTCTGCTTCTTCCAGGAATTTGCTTTTATTAGTCAAGTATAGGGGCTGCCAGGTTCTGTGTCTCCATAGATATATTTGCTTCTTTTCCTATAGCTAAAATGTATAATAAACAGGAACCTGACCTTTACCTCCTTTCAGCTGTTTCAAACAGGTGCCAGGATACCTATGTCTTGGAATTAGAGTTTCTTCAAATTGATTAATTGATTTCTCAAGTATGGATTACGTGAAAGAGCCCAGGGACATCATCTATTACAGTTTAACTCTTTCATTTAAAGGTCCAGAGAGGCAAGTGAATTGTCTAAGTTCATATATTAGGTCAGTGACTGAAGGGACTGAGAACGCAGACCTGATTTCCAAGCCAGGACTCCCATGCTGCCTCATTTGTATTCAAGCCTTTAACAGGAGGGCAAAGAGGTGAGAATGTGTTTTTTTTAAAAAAAGAAAGAAAGAAAGAAAGAAAAGGGCAGAGCAGGGGAGGAATATGCTCTGGAGATGGATGCTAGGATGATTTGCGTAGCTCTCCCTCCTGTGTGCCAAGCCCACTAAAAGTTCCTTGCCCCAAACTGTCACATTTGGGCCCTCATCTTGGTGCCTAAAAACTGAGCATACAAAGATGAATGAAATGGTTTCTCATTGTGAACCTCTTGGAGGAAAGGAGGAACCACAGACAGAGGAATATTATTCTCTCTCTGAGATGGAATTGAAGGCTTAAGTAAATCAGAGTGTCACTGTCAGACGTTGATTACTCCCAAGATCCAATCAGCATTTCTGCCTATCCTGTTATGTGTCTGCCAAGGACTTAAGTAGCTGGAAACCAGGAATAGAGAAAGTGGGGGGGTGGGGAAGAGCAAGGCCAGAACAGAAGGGAGTTGAATGAATAATCAACTGGTGGAGAGGCCTACCTAGATAAACCTTTCTGGGAGGTAGGGAATGACATTTTCAGGCAAGGAATTGAGACGTTCAATTCTGTCCTGGTACAAGGAAAGAGGCAGAGCAGGAGCCAACAATGTTAAAGACAACTTTTAATAACTGCCCAGTATTTCCTGACCCCTCTCAAAGGTTGGGGAGAATACAAGGTTTCTTGAAGCTTTTTGATTGGGGTGTCACATTAGGCACGCAGGTGTCTGTAATGGAATCTCCCCTTCAGTTTGGTCATAGAAGTGCTTGGACAAGTCAGAAAAATAGCTAGCTGTGGATATCCCTTTAAGATATTCCCAAGTCTACCCTGCATCATAGCAGTAGTTCTCAGTGTTTTTGTTTAAAGGATCCCACTTTGAACTTTGCCAAGTACTACCAACTACCTTGTCTAGTGTTCAGCAACTGCCCCTACCAAACAACCCTTTGGAACTCTGAATGATTTGGGCCTCACAGAAGCTCCCTAAAGACTAGGAACTTGGTGACCATCATTTGAACAACTAGGCAGCCATACTGCAGTCAGTTGTCATGGGGTCATTCCCTAGGCCCCCCTCCTATCAGCCTCTACCTAAGGAAGCTAGATAGAAAGCTAAGCACAGCCACGGTTGGGAGGCTACATCTAAAGCTCAGCAGGGGTGATCCCAGGGTTACCAGCCTTCAGCACTCCCTCTGGCAACACCCCATTCTCTTACCTAGTGGGGACATGTACCTTTCCACTGAAGCCTCTCCATGCTCCTTCCCTACCTTTCACAGCAGTACTTTGGCCTGCCTCTTACCCTGGTACAAAGTTAAAGTTCACCCTTTACTTCCCTACTTGAAAGTTCTACTCTGAGCCTTAACTCTTGGCCACAGTGAGGCATGTTGAAGGTTCCTTCTGGTTTTTTTTTTGAGACGGAGTCTAACTCTGTCACCAGGCTGAGATGCAGTGGCGCGACCTTGGCTCACTGCAATCCCCACCTCCTGGGTTCAAGCTATTCCCCTGCCTCAGCCTCTGGAGTAGCTGGGACTGCAGGCGCGTGGCACCACGCCAGCTTTTTTTTTTTTTTTGATTTTAGCTGAGTTGGGGTTTCACCATGTTGGCCAGGATGGTCTTGATCTCCTGACCCCGTGATCTGCCCACCTTGGCCTCCCAAAGTGCTGGGATCACAGGCGTAAGCCACCACACCCGGCCCGTTCTGGTTTATTCTTATTTGGATTCCAATTCCCCATGGACTGCGTGAGGCCAGGAACTCTCAAGTTCTGGAAAGACATGACTGCTTCTGGCCCTTTGAGTTTACGATGATATGGTATTGGGGATGGTTAGATAACTTTTAGTGATTCTTCTGGCCTCTGAAGATTAGTCAATAATTTTCTAGTTTTGGAATTGAAATAGTTGGGGTGACCAGCTTCAGATATAATCTCATTTAATGCAGTCAAAACATTTGAATTTTCTAACCAAATAATTATGTTTTAAATCCCAGGCTTGATAGAGGCTCCGAAAAATGTCTTGAGACAATTATGGGAAGTCTCGAGCTTCATTAACTTTCTTTAAATGCCTCCAAGTTGATTACTCTCCTAGCCCACATCTCCTTGATGTGCATGAGGAAGCACTGGGTCTAATTTTTGGGGGCTGGGAAGGTAAGAAGGTGAGGTCAGTTTTTCCCAGGAGTCCTAAAAAATTCTGGTACCTTAGATTGAGGGTATGGGAGAAAGGGTGTCTACCCATGTCATAGTTCTGAAAATGGGCAGTAGCATGAAGTACCAAACCTGTCTCATTCCTTATTAGATGTCTATCTCAAATACAGGGAGTTTGAAAAATGTTGTTTTTATCATTTGATATTTCCATGCCTGACTCATTTGGGAAAATAATGTTTTCTGACTTTTTTCTATTTCCTTGCCCTGCACAGACCCTACCTGGTACAATTTTCTATTTCTTAGCTCAAAGTGTCTATACAATGGGTTGCCTGGTATGTCAGCTGCCCTCACTCTTGTGTAATAGAAATATATTTCCAGGCTGGGGACGTGGAGGAGGCGAACTGGATTCCTCCCTCCTCCTGTTGCCAGGCCTCTCTGCATTGGCACTTTATCGTTTCAGTGTTTCTGGCTGTGTTGGGTTTATTTGTGAGACTGATGTAACAATAAAGTGAAATCTTCCCCTCTCTGTGCTTGTCTGACAAAGTCTTTGTGTCAGGGCCCTAGTCTGGAAGGTGGGGGAGACCAGGTACAGTCTAATTGCATCAGCATTTTTCTCTTAGGGTCTTCTGTTCCTCCATTGCTACTGGCCCTTCAGGTGTCTCTTACTGACTGTATGTCGAGCAAATTAGTGAACCTCACTGAGCTTGGTTTTGTAATCTATAAAACAGAAGTAATAAAAGTGCTTATCTCACAGTGTCAAATGAGAAAATTCATATAGAGTGGTTGGCATATGGTAGTCACTCAGAGCTTCATATACGGGAGCAATCTTTTATGGTGGGCCAGTCAACAGTCTGAGAGAACACTTCTAGAAAAGGAAATATAGCTGGACACGGTGGCTCACACCTGTAATCCCAGCACTCTGGAAGGCTGAGGCTGGAGGATTACTTGAGCCCAGGAGTTCAAGACCAGCCTAGACCACATAGCAAGACCCCTTCTCTACAATTTTTAAAAAAATATTTTTTAAATTATACTTTAAGTTCTAGGGTACATGTGCACAACGTGCAGGTTTGTTACATATGTATACATGTGCCATGTTGGTGTGCTGTACCCATTAACTCGTCATTTACATTAGGTATATCTCCTAAAGCTATCCCTCCCCCCGTCCCCTCCCCACAATAGGCCCCGGTGTGTGATGTTCCCCTACCTGTGTCCAAGTGATCTCATTGTTCAATTCCCACCTATGAGTGAGAACACGCGGTGTTTGGTTTTCTATTCTTGGAATAGTTTGCTGAGAATGATGGTTTCCAGCTGCATCCATGTCCCTACAAAGGACACAAACTCATCCTTTTTTTATGGCTGCCTAGTATTCCATAGTATATATGTGCCACATTTTCTTAATCCAGTCTGTCACTGATGGACATTTGGGTTGATTCCAAGTCTTTGCTATTGTGAATAGTGCTGCAATAAACATACGTGTGCATGCGTCTTTATACAATTTTTTTTTTTAAATTAGGAGTGGTGGCGTGCACCTGTAGTCCCAGCTACTCAAGAGACTGAGGCAGGAGGATCACTTGAACCCAGGAGGTCTAGGCTGCAGTGAGCCATGATTGAGCCACTGTACTCCAACCTGGGCGACAGGGCAAGACCCTGTCTCAAACAAACAAACAAACAAAAGAAATATTTTTAGTTCAAACAAATAGGAGAGGTTTGGGAAGGGAAAGGGAAAGGGTTGAATGAACCTTAATATACAGTTAAAGTCATTATCCAAATGGCATCTCAAATAAATGTATTTTCAAGATAATGGAAACTTTTAAGTATTGATGTTTTTAATATGACTTAAACAGCATGGTTAAATAGTCAACAAGCAACATGCTTTCATTATGACGATGGTTATCATCATCTAGAATTATGGTTTAATTACTACTCGGAAGATACTGCCATTCCACCTCAAAAGATTTTCTTTTGTCAATTTATTCTGATGATAAAAAATGTCAAGTGGTTCACCTGCCTGGTCCTTAAGCAACAAGTGACAGAATCAATATTCATAATCATCTCAAAAGAATGAAACCAACAAATTAAAATTTACACAGAGTTAAGAATATATGCCAGGCGCGGTGGCTCACGCCTGTAATTCCAGAACTTTGGGAGGCCGAGGCAGGCGGATCACGACGTCAGGAGATCAAGACTATCCTGGCTAACACGGCAAAACCCCGCCTCTACTAAAAATCCAAAAAAAAAAAAAAAATTAGCCGGGCATTGTGGCGGGCACCTGTAGTCCCAGTTACTCAGGAGGCTGAGGCAGTAGAATGGTGTGAACCCAGAAGGTGGAGTTTGCAGTGAGCCGAGATCGCGCCACTGCACTCCCGCCTGGGCGATAGAGCGACACTCCGTCTCAAAAAAAAAAAAAAAAAAAGAATATATATTGTTGGCCAGGCACAGTGGCTCCCGCCTGTGGAATCCCAGCACTTTGGGAGGCTGAGGCAGGCGGATCACGAGGTCAGGAGATCAAGACCATCCTGGCTAACACGATGAAACCCCATTTCTACTAAAAAAAATACAAAAAATTAGCTGGGCTTGGTGGTGGGCATCTGTAGTCCCAGCTATTCAGGAGGTGGAGGCAGAATGGCATGAACCCGGGAGGCGGAGCTTGCAGTGAGCTGAGATTGTGCCACTGCACTCCAGCCTGGGCAACAGAGACTCTGTCTCAAACAAACAAAAAAATTTATACACACACACACACACCCCTTCATTTTAAAATATTTATTGCACTTGCATAGTGGGGGAGAACTTGGATTAACAGAAATTCACATTAAGATGATACTGATGTTTTAGTTGATTATACATTGAATGTAGCAATATTAAGGACTCTGTGTATAGGAGATGTCATTTGTAAGGCAGGGACATGTATACAATTTGTGACACATCCAGAAAAGCGCAATGGTAGTATGATTATTGTCTTCAGAGTTGTCATGTGGAAAGTGTTTTATTTTCTGGTACCAGAAGGCAAGCATTTCTAATAGATGGAGGTAGCAGAGAAGTATATCTTGACTCAAT